CGGAAGAGAAAGCAAATAATTGTTTTTGTGGTGACGGGGAATAGATGGAAGCACATGTATTTAAAGAAATTCCGGCTCTAGTCGGTTTGGCTCAGCGGCTAGAGCCTTGGCCTGAGGACTGAAGGGTCCCAGGTTCAATTTTAGTCAAGGGCACATGCCTGGGTTGCGGGGCTTGATCCCCAGTAGGGGGCGTGCATTCTCTCATCATTGATGTTTCTATCTCTCCCTCTCCCTTCCTCTCTGAAATCAATAATATATTTTAAAAAAAGAAATTCCAGATTTAAATATTTTGTTACATAAAATTTAAAAAATTGAATTATCATAAAAATCTTGATGACCAAATGATAGCTAGCAGAATTACTATAATTTATGTGAGTAGTTTATATATACTACATGTTGTTTAGAAACTAACCAAAATGTTATTTGGTGATGTCACTTGCAGTATTTGAATAAAGAAAATTCTAAAACATGATATCAAGTCTATGAAAAGATATGAAGTCCATGAAAAACCAAAAGAACAAATTGAAGACATATATCTGTGAAAATGTGACATCTGGTCAAAGGTTTTCCATATCCTGAAGCACAGAGAAAATTCCTGAAGTGGCATAACAATAATAGGGAGGAGATAGGTCTCTGTAATATACTTAGGACACAAAATACAAAGCTGATTACAATTTTGAAATAACGATAAGAACAAGATGTAGCCTAAAGGGGAAAGGCATCTTAGGTGAACAGATATAAACCATTAATATTTGTTAAATGAAGGAAGGAATAAACAGTCTTCATGTGAGTTCTTTAAAATGACCTCACAAATCTTCAAAAATTAATTTTACAAAATATATTTTACAAACATACAAATATAAAATGTAACATATTTAATTAGGTAGCAAAATAAGGAAGATATCTTAGTAGCTCATTTATTCCATCTGCTTAAATTTAATATGTAGAAATTAATGACAGTGATTCCTAAGACTGTGATCATATTATCATTAAAATTATTACTGATAGGAGTACTAAAATATGTGAGAAGTTATTTATGTTAGCCAGTCAATAAAAAACTAAAAATTACTATCTTTCATAATAATAGGCTGTTTTGTGTTAACTTGCAATAGTGGGCATTCCAGATCAAATATTTTAATTCACTAGTAAATAAAAAAATGACTACAATTTCTTGAGAGTTATTTGCAAGGCACTATAGTATTTTGAATGTTATTACTTAATTAAACCCATATAACTCTATGTAATAGGTACTGTTATTTCCCCAATTTTAGATGAGAAAATTAAAATTAGAGGTTTACAATCAGAAAGGATATATGCACCCCTATGTTCATAGCAGCACAATTCACCATAGCCAAGATCTGGAAACAGCCTAAGTGCCCATCAGTAGATGAATGGATTAGAAAACTGTGGTACATCTACACGATGGAATACTATGCTGCTCTAAAAAGGAAGGAACTCTTACCATTTGCAACGGCATGGATGGAACTGGAGAGCATTATGCTAAGTGAAATAAGCCAGTCAATGAAGGAAAAATACCACATGATCTCACTCATTCAATGTAGATGTGACTCTTCTAATACAAGGTACTAGAAAACTCTCTTTGTAAAATTATGAATTCAAGTAAATAACTGTTTATCATAATAAAATAATAATTTGTTTTAGA